ATTTAATAAATGTTTTGTTTTGATATACAAGTTGTTTCGGGTTTTTTGATCTAAAATACAGCAGTATTAATTTCTTATCGACCTAATATATAATGAATGAACAAATTTGTAAATTCATAAACAATGAAATAAGTTGTCAATATTTGAGTCCTGAGGTACAGAATGAGTTAAAATGCAGAAGCTTCCAAAAGAAGTTGTTAATGCAATTATTTTATAATGGGGGAATGTGTTCCTGGTGTCAGTCATCATGAACTCTATTAGAGGTCATTCTTGAATAGTTTATGAAAGATGAAATATTGTTCAAGGACTGCCATGGTTAGAGGTATAATAGTGGAGCAAATATGAGAAGCTAACACAAGATTGTGCAGTCCAGGTTGCTGCCATTAAACAAAATAACATTTATTGTTCTTTGGTTTTGCCTTTGAATCATGTACTGTGTGATTTTGCCTTTGAATCATGTACTGTGTGATTTTGCAAGATTTTGTAAACTGGTCAAAAACTTGTTTAGGTTTCTTCAAATAACATAATACTATATTTTGTAGCATCAACTAGCAGATGGGCTATTTTTAATTGCTTTATCAATATTACTCCCCAAATCTCTTTTTAGAACTGGACCGGAGTGCAAAATTAAAGTGGTAAAAACAGTAAAATACAAATTAAAAGTATACTGGTCACATTAATGAAACTGAAGAAAATTACAATGGATAGTACAGCTTGCTCTAATGCTAAATGATTAACAGATGATCCAGCATCATACATATTTCTAATTTCTATAGTTGTTTGAAATGATGTGCTTGTACCAAAACCAAATCTAGTCACATTGCAAATACGACCCTCAGATTGCGAGTCGAGCGCCCTAACCACCTGGCTATGCCGGGCCAGAAGCTTATTTAGGTTTACAAAGTACTGTAGGTGATGGCAAAACATTCTGATGGTTCAAATCCTTAGTTATTGAATATAATTTTTATGTTTATACTGTTGAAACAACTTACATAAATAAACTGGCTAACTGGCTACTAAATTATTTCTATTTGTAATCGTGAGGAATTTTAAATAAAAACATTATTACCATTATCAGTAATAATAAAATCACGTTTTCATTACTTGATTTACACAAAAATCAATGTGGAAATTACTGCATATTTAAAAAAAAGAAAAGAAAAAAACAACATGAGCACATGGTCATTTCAAAATTAGCATCTTGCCAAGTTGGGGAAATGGTTAGATTATTAAAAAATCCGTGCTGAAACTTACTGGCTAAATTATTTTTTTACCCAGAAAGTATTTGTTCCACAAAATGCACAAATAGCTACCATGATATGTCTATTATCTTAAACATAGGGTAGTTCAAAAATGACAAAAACTAACTATAATAGGACAATTAATCTTGTGAGAATAATCAATTAGTTAAATGTAATTATTGAGTCCAATCAATTAGCAAATTCCATTAATTGCTAAGCTCTATCTCTTCTCCTTGCAATAATCCCACACACATAAACAAGGAAATAAGGAGGGCATAATACAGTTATCCAGTGAAACAGTAGATAGGTTCTATGAAGAGATTTGATCAGACCCTGATACAGACAGAAAGTAGCATCTAGGTCTGAATTTAGCACATGACCTCGACCAGATTTAGTAAATTCTGGATGAAGAACATGTATTTATTATATACAAAATACACTACAGATGAGCAAGATATAAGGTATTTACATATTACACAAGAAGAAAGACAGAAGACTGTGGAATATGTAGGGGAAAGATTATTAAAATTGTCAAGTTTCACACATAAAACTGTCCCAGGAAGAAAGTCTGAGGATTTTGGAATATGTCTGAAATAAGCAAATCTTAATAATTATAATAATAAATAAAGCTAGAAATGTTAATTTTTTATACATAAAACTGACCCAGGAACCAGAACCAGAAATTTCACTTTTAATAATTAGATTTGATCCACAGAGAGAGACAGCTCTTTGGAATGTGTAGAAAAGAGTGAGAAAAAGTTAAACATGGTAATTTCAAGTTTCAAAACATAAAACTGAAATAGAAATTAAGTCAAAGGAGATCCACAGAGCACAAAATAAGAAAGTTGAATTTACTTCACACATTAAAATATAATCTGATAATGATATTATATGCATTTGATACTTAAAAAAGTTGATGAATAAGAAAGCACAATCTGTTTACAAAAATAACAGTGACTTTTTAATAGAAGCACTACGAATTCATCTGATTTAAATTTCATTAAAATTGGTTTAGAATAATAAACAAGTGACAAAGATTTGTATCACAGCATCAATATAATATAAATTCCTAAATAAGTGTTATCTGGAAAAGAGAATACAAAAATTGATGAGACAATTCTGTTACACAAAATATCAAAATTCACTGTACTACTATTTTAAACAACTTACATCATTGTTCTCATTCTTAAGCCTGCTAAAAATAATATTTTGACTACTTTTTTCATAATGCATTATTAAAGATCTTTCCATCAAAGTGAATGTTTAGAAGGTTACAAATAATCAGTTTAGATGTTGATTGATACCTACCAAGATTGAAGGATGAAACTTCTATTTTTTCCCATAATTACCAGATAAAGTAGTTCAAATTCAAATTACAAGCAGTGGAAAAGGCTGTATTTAATGAGGTTTACCAAACAAACAAAGTAAAAACTGGACAAATGCAATGGTTAATAAAGTTTATATATATGTATATATATATAGAGATACTAATCAATTAATGACCCTTAAGAAAATCAGTTTATATCTTTTAAAAGGTAAAAACCAGGCAAGTGTAAATTTTTTCATTGTTTTTTAATTCTTTGTGGAATTATGTAGTTTCTGTTTTTTCCAAAGAAAAACAATTTCCAATTCATATTATGACTTTTCTTGTATTAACAACTGCTCTGATTAGAAAAGTTTATTTTAAACATGTTCTGATAGCATTGTTACCACTCACTTCCTTGCCAGGATATTCTTTGATGACTTTCCTAAGTTCTTGTTTGTTGTAAGCCAACTGAAAACTGACTTCTTCCACTTTCACTCCTTGAGCTACTTTACTTTGCACTCCATCAAAAAAGAGCTGGAGAAAATTAGAAAATATATTATATGAATATATGAATTGTGCCACTAGCCTTAAAACATGTTATTTGTAATAAATTAATACTTTCACTATGGACATCTTTTTCTGCAGATATCACAAGGTTTTAGTGAGTTATATTTTAATTAAAGTATTTTATCATCATGGTACATGAATAAACTTGGCACCAAAATGTAGCTATCAATCCAACTTTTAATGTTATATAAGAATTAAGTTCTTAATTTTATAATGCAATATTAAACAAAATTCTCAATCACCCCTAATATGAGAATTGTGAAATTTGTTCTCTAGGTCTCCTTTCTTTTATTTACCACCCCTCCACAAAGTATAGAGTTTAGTGCAAACAACTTATTATAATATAGATATTATAGGCTTCAGACAAAAGTTTGAGTGAAGATAAATATCTCAGGACTGTTGTGAGAGTCAGACAAATTTGAGAAAATTGTGATCTGTTTAAGGTGATCACAGGTTCCAACATGAAACCCCACATGTCCAAAAGAGGGTCCAGTCATTGAGAATCTAAGTATACCTCTTCCTGGCAGTGATAAGCCAAGGCATAGTTATCCCTTCATGTAACTGATTAGCAAATCTCCAAGCATGAACAGCAATATCTGGAAAATGAGGAAGAACTAAGTAGTCACTTGCCATCCTTTCCACTAACAAGGAAGGAGTAGACTCAAAAGCAATAGAGGATAACCCCAAAACCTCAAAAACTTGATTAACCAACTGAAAAAAAGGAACAGGAGGTGATTGATCCAGATTGTCTTCTATCAAGACTGACCTGGTAAACCCCCCACGGACAGCCTTGACAAACAGCCCAACTGTTGACAAATGCCAGGTAGCATAGGTAGAATAGGGAAGGTCTAGTTAGCCTCCGTGGTGGAAACATTAACTCGGGAATTCATGCCTGAGAAATGGCAATGTTTTGTTTGTTTGTTTGAATTAATGAAATTAAACTAAATTTTCACTGAAATTGGCATTGAAAGTTGCAACTGAAAAACGTTAATAATCACAGGGCTCCTGTGAAACCCATGTCAAATACTTTGTTGAGAAAATGTGATAACATTATCTGAATGAAGTGCTTATGTACAGTACCTGGATAGAGGGTGTATTGTTGTTGGTGGAGAGACTGGAGCAAGTGAGTTCAATGATTAGATGGGAAAAAACGAAGAAACCTTGACGGTCGAGAAATGGCTAAAGTGTTAGCGGATGGTAAGTATGTTTTGGAAGAAGTATTTTTATTCTTAATATGAATATCACCTTGCAGACTGACTTCATAAATTCACAAATGTTTAATAAAAATACTTTATTAGAGAATTTAATATTTTGTGTATAGAAGTTTTTTCATATTTACTAAAAGCCTGCCAAATTTTGTAAAGATACAAGAAGTAAATTTGGAATTATAGTAATAAACATAAATTCTCCAATACAGGATCATTCCAATGGACCTACTGTGTGCATGTAAAAATAACTGTATGGGTATTAACACATTTGAACAGTTCTATATTGTAGGCTCAGATTCTGTCTGTTTTTAAAAACAGACAACCTATATTTATGTAAAAATTACAGATCAATGACTGTTCAAACTTATCCTACTTAACGTTTTAGAGTCATCAGATAGCATTTATAGAAAACCTAAAACTTTTGCTTATGCATTAATATGTTTCTTCCAAGTTATTATCAAATAAATCTACAATGGTTATCTATACAGAAATAGTTAAATCTGAAACTGATAATGGAAGTATTAGTGTAGAAATATCTAGAGATTTGATACACTTTTGAGAGTGTAAGATAGACAATCTTTATGACAAATTTTAAACTATATCATATGAGAGCACTAATCTGGCTACAAAATTGCTTAAGCAGAAAAAATAAAAAATGCAAATTCTGAATCATTGCTGTTTAATATTACATGTGGTGATACAACATTGGGCTTTACACAATTTCTTGGTGAACTACCTTACATAACTATATGTTTACTCAAAAATACAAAATAGAACTGTGTGTAGATTATATGTTTATTGTTTGTTTTTTTGAATTTCGCGCAAAGCTACACGAGGGCTATCTGCGCTAGCCGTCCCTAATTTAGCAGCGCAAGACTAGAGGGAAGGCAGCTAGTCATCACCACCCACTGCCAACTCTTGGGCTACTCTTTTACCTACGAATAGTGCGATTGACCATCACATTATAATGCCCCAACGGCTGAAAGAACGAGCATGTTTGGTGTGACGGGGATTCGAACCCGTGACCCTCAGATTGCGAGTCGAGTGCCTTAACCACCTGGCCATGCCGGGCCAAATTATATGTTTAATTTCTAATGAATACGGATTTTTTGAAACAGTTAAATAATAACCTAAGAGTTTAATCAGAATGGTTTCAAATAAATTAGAATTAAATGTCATAACACAGTGTTTTTGTATTAAAAAAAAACATCAACAATAGTTCAATAAAGAACTGTATTATATTCAAATTATAAAAATTAGCTAAAAATAATTAAATATTTAGGTACAACATTTTATTAACATTCAAACTGGCAAGAAAATGTTTTTCATATCAGGTCATTTGTTTCAAAATATACTTTACAAATACTGTAAATATGACTTCTGATTTAAGAAAAATTTAGTAAAAATGTTAAGCCTTTCTACCAGAGCCTATTTACAACTCTTGTTGAACGAAGAAAAAATTTTACACACACTACCTAAAGCCATACATCTTATTGTCAGCAAATGAAATCAACTTCTAGATATAATTATAAAACTAGAAGCACATATTTTAAAATATTCCATATAGATCTCAGGAAAAAGAAACTTGGGAATAATATAAGTGAAGCATGAAGTAATATTAACCATAGAGTAATGGCTGTTTTTGCTACATTAACCTAGAAAATAAAAAAAGAAGGCAAGGACGTTCTGCATAAAGTTGACTATTTCTGCTTTTCTGAATTATTCATTGAGTTAAGAAAAAAAGATAAGCAACATGAAAGAAAACTGCAAAATAACAATGATTATGCAAAACAATAAAACAAATAAAAAAAAACTGAAAAAATAACAATGATTATGCAAAACAATAAAACAAATAAAAAACTGTGCCCTAGAGGCATGTTTGGCTATCAAAAGGTTAATTTAATGTATAAAGCATTGGCCTAATGGAAAACTAATCTATATACTACTAAAACTCTGAGATTGCTTGTTTGTTTGCTTGTCTGTAATTAAATACAGCAAAAATGGTGCACAACAGTGCCATATTTGTAATGAAATGAGAATAGAAACAGAATATAAGTTTTGTTAAAATCGGGCCACGGGTTACCTAGTTAGCGCCATTTTTCAGGTCACTTTTATGAAAATTTCTAGCATGAGTAATTTTACATCACACTACCGTTCACACTCTTTACAAAACTTCTTTGTTCAAATCTATTTCCCTGTCAATGTTCCCATCTTCATTAAAAGGCGTAAGCTGACAAAAACAAGATCTTGAAGAATTTCTCAATAATGTGCCTTGGTTATGTTAGGTAATTTGAAAAAAAAATAAAGTGTTACTGTTTCTTATTTGTAAAAAGTTTAAGAGGAAAGACCACAACATAATGAACTAATTCATCACAATATCTGAAAACTCTGACTTCACTTATCTGAAAAATGAAATGGTCTTTCATTTTACTCCTGATCAACAATCAAATATCTTTTCTTGAATTATGAATAATATGAATGGATCGAAAGATTTAATTAAATTATCTCCAAATAAACCTTAATTTCGGTCCAATATTGAAATTAGCTTGAATTTTTCATAACCTCTGAATAGTGGGTGACCCAACAGGTCAAGGGTTGTCTAGTATTCATTATAGTTCAGAATTTATTAAGTTAATCTTCACAAAATGTCACAAGTTTTTAGTCAACAGTACAAGTCTGTTATATGCAAAAAATAAGATTAAAGTTTTTGTACTAAAAATATATATGTGAAATACCAAAGATAATTTCATTCAGACTCTGAGAAGTCAGGGTACACAGTGATGTTCATGTGAAGAATAAAAATACTTTTGTCTATCTTGAATTTGAAAAACAATTCACTAAAATAGAATATTTTAAATGTTTGAAGCAAAATAAGATCATGCACCTAACACATTTCCATTTATATATAAAGTAGGAAAACCTTACACTATCTTGCATATAATGAAATAAATAATAATATACATATAATGTTCTACATTACATATAGTAAAAAAGGACATACTGTTACAGTTATTTGCACATTGAACATTCTAAGATGTATACTATTAGTACTTATAATATTTCACTTTGCACATACTTACATTTAGCTTCTCTAATGGTCTTCCAAAATATTTTGTGACATAAGCCTGTAGAGCATCTTTATATTTCTGCTGTGCATCTTTTCTCTCAGCTTCCAAACACATGATTTTCAGTTGGTATAACAATGTGTACAGATGGTGAAAATTTTCTATAAAAGTAACCCACAAATACCATAATACAACAACAGAAATATATCTACATATTTATATCTCTTTCCTAGATAATCCAGTAAAACTGTTAAAAATTACTTAGCAAACTAACAAGAATCATATCACAAAATGTTACTACATTTAACTGTACAAATAAAGATTTTTGCAGTTAATTACCACACCTTTGCAAAAAACAAAAACAAAAATAAAACACATTCATAATCAGGGCATTTATTCAAACATTCTTAAGACAACTGTGTTAGTAATGTTTATGAGTAAAAATATTTACTGAGTATGGACTTGACAGAAATATCATGAAAAAAATTGCACTTGGAATATTTAGGTTACATTTTACATGATATAAAAGATTCTCTATAGACTTGTAAACAAAGTCTGGTTAAATGTGAATGAAAACAAGTTTCTCTAAAAATATTTAGAAACTGTAGTTTCAAAATATTCAGTTTAAGTTTTAGTAAACTTTGACACAAACAAAATGATAACATTTTCAGAACTCTAAAGTCCATATCAGTTACTACCTTATTAATCTACATATGTACTCATGAACAATGTTGCATTAACATGAAAATTTAAAGGTCAAGTACATTTCTAACATTAATCCACTATATTTTAGGTTCTTGAAATGTATGTAACATTTCCATACATCTTATTTATATGCAATTCTATAATTTTACACCTTATTTAGAAGTTTGTTCCATAAATCTTCAATTTAATAAGCTTTCAGTTTAAAAAACTTGCCTGTGGGGGAAATATACTAATAAGTATATTTCATATGAATGAAACATCACATTAATATGTACTACATAAACTACATGTTTTAAACTGTTCATGATGGCTTTCATTACCAATTAGTCAAGGAACCTATGATAAACAATGCTATTTTAAAACTATGGTTAACTTCAAATACAGAAATGATTGAGAAGGTGGAAATTAGGGAACAATGATATTTTCGTTACAAATTTCAAAAAAGCAAATTTTGAAGGAATGCAACAAGAATTATCTGTTGTGAATTGGGCAGCTGAGTTATTTGGAGACATTGATCAGATGTGAAGTTTTTAAAGATAAATTTTTAATATTCAAGGTAAACATCTTCCTTATAGAAAGAAAAGGGTAGCTGCAAGTAAAAAAACCAGATTGGCTCACAAAGAGTTTAAGAGATAAAAATTTAAGAAAAGCAACATAAATTTAAGAAATTTAAATTGACTGGTATGACAGGAGATTTAAAAGATTATAGAAGATGAAGAAAGTTGGTGAACAGGAAATTAGGACATCAAAAAGGGTGTATGAGAAAAGATTGGCTGAAAATGTCAAAATTAACAGTATACTTTAATACTAAATACTTTAAGGGTAAACACAATGTTAAAATCCTGGTAGGGCCCTTGAGGGATGATAAAGGAAGGCTAGTATCTAATGGTTATGAGATGGCTGGGTTATTAAATTTTGCTTTTTCTTCGGTTTTTTACTAACAAAGATTTAAGCAATATTCCACATCTTGAACAGTTGATAAATGGAAATGAGATCAAACAAGATGACTGCATTAATTCTGAGTTGATTAAAAAAAAATGGAAAGTTTAAAAAAGATTAGGCTTCTGGGCCAGATAATGTTTGCTCAAGGGTTTTGAAGGAGGTTAAAGGTTGGATATGTGAGTCACTTATTACTATTTTTTTGTCAGTGTTTGAATAGTGGGCAGGTACCAGAGGATTGGAAGTTAGCTAAAGTAACTCCTCTTTTCAAGGGAGGTGATAAAAATTGTCTCAGTAATTGAAGACCCATTAGACTTACATCAGTGGTGGGAAAAGTTTTAGAAAGTCTGTTAAAAGATGCTTTGCAAAGTCATTTAACAAAGTATAGAATTTTATTTGATAGTCAACATGGTTTCACTAAGGGAATATCTTGCCTTACAAATCTTTTGCCATTCTTTGAAAAGGTTACTGCTTAAGTAGATGAGGGTAGGGGTGTAGATTTGGTATATCTGGATTTTCAGATGTAAAAAATATCCATGGTAAATCAATCTATAATGATGAACATTCTATGTAAAGCCCATTCATTTGCTAATTTATATAAACTCTTATGGTAAATCTACAGTGATGAGTTTTCTCAAACAGTACCTTAAATCATCTTTTCTAAGGAATTAGTAACTGAACCTCTAAGAATTGTGGTAGAATAGCTTGCACATTCTTTCTTTACTTGTATTAACTTTTGTAATTTTCTTTTCATATCACTTGTTTTATAACATAATATGTTGTTATATGATTATCTGTTGATTATTCTTTGTTTTGTAGTTTGGATGATAAGTGTGTAAAAGTGTTCTAGAAGCACAATTAGTACTACGTCTTAGAAAATTTATAGAAAAGTTTTCAGTATATAAATTTTTGAGAAATTAGAAGATATTGTAATTAGTTTGTGATTATCTGTTATAACATCTAAATTTAGAGGTTTACGCTTACACAAAGTTCAGTTCAAGACCATGAGAATATGTTGCTACCTTGTGAAGAGCTGGGTGCAGGAGGTCATGTACAAGTACAAGACACGTAAACCTAGTAAAAATATTTGTTTCCATTAAACAATATTAAAATTCTTACTGCTGAAGGCAAATACAGATAAAAACTAGAAATTTTTCATATTCTGATTAGTAACTTGGATCAATGCAGAGGTACAAATTAACTTTTTTATATAGCAGCTGGACTTGAAATTGCGCAGCAATTTAAAATGTGTCAGCAAAATATAAACTACCAGAATTTGTATGGTATATTAATGTGTGAACAGTTAATATTGATGATTGTAATGTAATGTGATTCATATTTACTTAAAAGTATTAAAAGTTTTAATTTCAATTAGTCTAAAAATGGGTGTAAAAATTGTCGAAAAAAATTATTAATTGTTTTCCCTTTAATTTCTTAATTTTAACTTTGAACAAAATTAAAAATTAAGCTTTTATACAAAAATAAAACTGCTGATAAATAACTAGAGTATTTAATGATACAACCACTTCACCTTTCCTAATTTTAAATGTCAATTTTGATTTAATGAATGTCTAACAAATCAAGGCAACCATCAAATTTGTAAAAGTTAAGATGGTATAGGTACAAAATCCTATCTATACAAATATTTCTGAGTGAGTCTGTAAAGTAATGTCCTCTTTTCAGAAAACTATTTGCTGAAAAGACTGATAACTAATTAGCTATTAGCTTTTACAAGTTATTAGTTTATGTAATAAAACATTTACCAAAAACATCATACCTCTTTTTTTTTTTCAATTTGAGATGCTAATTAAACAAAAATACATACATATATAGATATTGCCAAGCAGAGTTTAAGCTTTTTACTGAGGTCATCATTAGGTATAAAAAAAAATTACAAAATTTGGGCACAACAGAAAATATAAGCATTCAAAATAATGATTTAATTGTTTGAAACATGAACAATATTACTCGCTATCTAGAAATATTATCATTGGCAGAGAGAAAATGGAATTAAACATATTTATTCTTTTAAGTAAACATTCTATTTATAAAGTTGTTTGTTGGTAGATTATTTTATTGAAAATGTTTCTTTGAAACATATCAAGTATATAAGAAGTTTGATAAATTTAAAACAGAGAAGATTTGTTTTATGGATAGCCTTTCTTTGATTAGACATTCAAGGTTGAAGTTATTAGTAAATATAATAGTGAATCGCAAATGAGTTATCAGATGTCAAGTTTCACATCTGACAGTTTGGATTACTAAAGTGGATGGCCTTAAATGGGTGCTACCTTATCTAAGTGATACTTCCATATGCTCATGGATGTGGACATAAAAATATGTTTTAGGTTTTCCAACATTGGTGGCCTTGCAGATGTGGTATATGAAATTACCACGTGTTTCTATTTACCTGTAATATTACGGTACATATTCTGAAATTATCACTTATGTCATATATGAATGGGTTTTACATAGCACATGGTCAAGAAAGATGTTAAGCTTATTTCAATTCTAGCCTCCTTTGTCAGTCTCTATGATACAAAAGCTGTTGGGATCATGAGTGATGTTGCTGTAACATTGCCAGTTGTGCAAGAATGTTGAGAGCAGAGTCCTCCAATGGTGGGTCAGGTGACATCTTAATATAATAACCTCCCTTATTTTCAAATGTGATTGATCTAGAGTGACATAGGTAGTGTACATGTTCTTTGTTCTGTGCACAGTCTCTTTCTTTTCCCAAACTCAGTCAAAGTCAGAAAACCCAGAATTATTTCATAATGAATATCTTGTAGAATTTTCTGTTATTCTCAGATGTATCTCATTATTCAAAGGTTAATCAAGTTTCAGTTGAATGTATCACAGAGTGGATAGGAAAGGGAAATTTTTGGTGTTATGACCACAAAATATTTTTTTATGAAATTTTCTGCTGACTTGAATTGAAATATTGTGTTGATAAGTTAAAAAATGTTTCATGTTTGAGGAAATAGTATTTTCCACAACTAACAATCTTAAAACCAAGATAGAGATTTGTTCACTGAAGGGAGACTGTCTTACAAGAGTTTATCAGGTCTAAGAGAAGTCTGTTCCTGGATGTTTGACTTTCACCAATATTGGAAAGGTCTATGATTGCTTTCTTGTTGCTGCTACATATGCAGGAAAGAGAGATGCCAAAATCTGGTACACTTAAAATGGCTGGGTGAGACCCTTCCCCCCAAGGATCAATCTCAGTGGAAAGGGAGCACTGAAAACTGCCGGTTATAGAAGGTAGTGTGATGTCTGGAAAATCTGAGACTGAAAAGGGCAGCCTGTATAAAACTTGCAGGCTTTTATAATATTGGAAGTGCCATTAGTGGATAACAGAGCAGTGATGAGCCTCTCCTAGCAAGAAGGTACACTACAGAAAAATACATGTATCATAATGAAGCCTGGGGATGTGCAGATCCAATGAACAAGCTGTTGAATGCACCTAAGAGGAAGGGCCTGCTACTCGTCATAATGTCAGAGACCACAAATACACTCACAATGCTTTAACCACAATGTTCATGATGTATCAGCCTGATGTTCTCTGAGAATTCATGGGATTATGATGCCCTCATAGGTCCCTGTGAGTAAGGCTAAGCACATTTTTCAACATGTTGTTCTGATTGTATGGATTTAATTGAGTATTACCTTGAATATATACTTATGTCAATGCAGCATGGCATGCAAGTATAGTATGAAGTTTTTGTATTCCTGTTTTAATATAGTATTATTAAAAATTAGTCAGTTATTCTGGTATATAAAGTTCTCACACTAGATTTCATAAAGAAAGTCATTAAGTTCTTTTTTTTTTCTAGCTGCCTTTGTTTTTTGTCATTCTCATTAGGTAACACTTGGTCTGTCTATTAGAGGTAAGCCTGTAATGCTGTATATTAAATAGACTGGTATATTGAACAATAGAATTTGGAGAGAAAACAGCTTACAATCTTTATTTGATAAAGACTGTTGATTTTAACTTGCATTGTGTCCAGCTTCTATTTCATTCTCATGAGCTAAAGTCAGTTTCAGAGAAATTCAGAACCACTGAGTGATAAACATCTTGTTGAATCTGTGTTATTCAGCAGATCTATCTTGGCATTCCAGATAAAATCAGTTTTACCTGAGGATACTGTATGAGTATTCATTATGTAAATAAGCTGTTTTTTGAGCATATAATTGGAAGACGATTATATACAAAAGGAATTAGGCATGCTGCAATGAACAAAATTCTGAATAAAAGATGTTCATCATATACATTTTACACAAGCAGCAATGTTTTGCTGCTCTTAGTGAAAGTGTGGCAACCAATTGCTCAGGTCAGGGAGTAATAGCTGCATTTCCATATTGTAAATTAAAATATTGTGAAGACTCATGCAGATTAATGGCAGTCTCATCATACTGATGGTTTTCTCTCTCTTATGTATAGTTTTGTTTAATTTAGTGCTATAAACAGAATCTTGGATTGTTCTTTCTTAATTTTGAATATTTTCACTGATGAAGTGATTTGGATAACTAACAGATAAAACCTTCTCACATATTAAGAAATTAGTCAATTTTATATAGATTACAAAAGCAGTCACAATAACCTCACAAAACATAATGAACAGTTTTAATATATCCAACCTATTCACATATGTACCAACACTACAGATACCTCAACAGCAACTTGACAGTGATAAAACTCTCAAGGAACACATCCATCTGAATGTCTTGAAGCTAACACCCTCAAAACAGCCATTCTAATACCCAGGATTTGACTGAGGTATGTTGATGATATATGTATTAATGATATGGTCACAGACTACATACAAGATTCAATAATTCATGAACCACCAAAATAGACAGCATCAAATGATACAATATACAATAAGAGTAGAAGTAGATAACAAACTTCCATTCCTAGACATGATGATTACCAAGATAGACATCTCATATAACAAGGGAGTTTACAGGAAACCCAAAGATATTGATACAAATCTCTACTATAAATCGAACCACCCCAACAGTGTAAAGTACGAAAGCTGCCTAGTTTCCAGAATGAACAAGATTTGTATTAGAGAAGGTGTTAAAAAAAGGGAAAATACACTTGATAATAGATATCCTAAACACTTGATAAGAGAAGATAATATGAAGAGTAGGCAAAAAGAAAATTACAGACACATGGTTATATGAATACATAAGCACCATATGGTCAGAACAGTATTCAGACAACACAACACAATTGCAGCTGATACATTTAAAGATCCAGTCAAGAGCAAAACATCATTTCCAACATGTGGACTGCAATACATTAAAGAAACAAAACTACCCAAAAGTTAAATTCAAGAGCATAACATACATACAAGACTCTCTAATACCAATATATCTGCAACAAAACAGAATAGTACCAAAATATCTGATAACACATTCAGTTAACCTAGTATAAAATTAAAGTCTTCAAAATTCATCTTGAAAACATTTAGATAGTTAACAAATTAGTCTTTCTATCAGAGACCAAGTACGTACACACACTAAATAATAATAATACTTAGGAAATCTCCTTAAGTTTTATCTTATATAACCCACCCTGGAATATATTAGCATATAACAAACACACAAAGGAGAACTTTATCCCTTGAGGTAAAAATTATATTTTTTCTTAACTTTGGCCTTTTCTCATTTCAGAAAACTGTTGCAAAACCTCAAGATAAAATAATTTTGGATAAATCTCATACTTAAGTGCACTATTAAATGTAATATCATCCAACTTTAAGAATATCTAATGGCACTAAATACTTCTTTAGTTTTCTGTTTAAACTACTGGACATGAACAAATGCAGAAAATATTAAGTATTTCTAAATGAGGTACCATTAATTTCATTACACATTAACTTATTAGTTTATTAAATATTTTTTTAAACAACCTTTCACAATGTAAATTTGGTTTTAATATGTAGGAAGAAAAAAAAAACTCACTTGGTGAATTTCTTTCAGAAAAAAAAATTACACAAATTAATGAAAACTAATAGTACTATCTAAGCTAGAAATTCTGCTGCAAAAGCTATTTGAACCTCATGAGATATTATTAGGATTACAGCCAAAAATACTGCTAAAAGCAAGGATAACAAACTGCTGAGTCAATGCATTCTAATTATACTATGCTTTTTGTTTTTTCAGAACACTGTATCCACCTAGTTATACTGGTATATTAAATTAGCTACATAAATTACAGGTTTAAATTTACACTATACTACTAATTTTTAAATAATGACACAAAAGTCTGAAACTAAATTAGTGTGCTATCCAGCATCACTGGTAGTAGCAGAACAACAACCATGCCACATACACAGTATGGAAAACACAAAAATTAGTAGACACTTATTCTTTCACACAAAAAAAAAACCAATACAAAACATTTCCTACAGTTTGCCAAATCAAAAGTTTCAGAAATACTCAGGAATTACTGCTTCAAAACTATGCCAGTAATTATTTTATCTTAAAGATAAGACTAAAAGCAACTGTTAAACCAAAAATGTTCTTACCCATCAAAACAACTTCTTGTGGAGTCTTCAGATGTTCAAGAGCAATTCTATTGATTGCATCAACCATAGCATGAACTAATTTAGTGTACCATTTATCCAGATCAGCATGTCTCTCAGAACCTTGAAATATCTTCTCGGCCTGGCATGAGAAGTTCTATAAAAATATCAAAACATTTTATTAAACATCAAAAGACTGATGAGTGCAGAAATGTTACCTGCTCTGAAATCACAAAAAATAAGACTAACAAATTACATGTATTTTAGCCTATCCTACCTCTGAAATATAAATAGTTATCATACTATAATAATTTCTATGTTATAATGAATTTATAAGCTCACTTCATAAGAACAATATACATGTGCTAAAGCAGTATCCTAATGCAAGTTATGTAGCCAAAGACAACACACTTAGTTACTACATTTGGTTTATGCTAAAATCTCAACTATACGAAAATAATGCCACCATAAAGACTAATGACTAGAGTAAAGATGCACTGATAGTAAGATTTTCCCAGATATCTGGTAATAGCTATTCAACTGGGTTTGATAACAGCTAGATTAATAGCAAAATTGAATGGGTATTCAAGATATGCAAATAATGAATTCATACTAATGCTTATATATTAGAACTTTAAAATAACTACAAAGTTAATAATGTAGGAAAAGTTTTTATTTTCATGCTTTTACTGGATGAATACTACAAGTATAGCATTCAATTCAGGATTCCATTTTGATGTGCCATTGGGCCCACCCATGACCATTTTGGTGGGTCAATATGCAGAAAATGTGGGAAAATACAGAACACACATACTTTATCAATAACTACTACTTAAAGTATTCAAATTATGTTATCGATTGTATCAATAACAGCTGTTGTTGGCTGTCAACATTCAAGTTTAATTTTCAAATAAAAAACGTGCAATACTGCCACAGTTAACTCTCTCCCTACGAGCTCAATCCCAGGGATGACCTCATAACCATTTCATGCTTGTTATAGTTTTGATACTATAAGTTTTAATACAGTATGTAATTTTTCACAAAATTATGCAGTTTCTCAGTAAACATTGCAAGGCTTTCATACACGAAACATCAGATTTTGTTTTACTAAGTTCTAACATTTTTTAAATAATTTTAAATAATTAAATAATGCTTGTGCATTTTTTCTTTTTTGAATGTTGATTATCCAACATGTAAAGTAATTTTGGTTTTTAAGATTAAAAATACTTTAATGCATCAGAAAATTGTCAAATTTCACATGCAAAGTATCTATAACCTCCAGATAATTATCAAACGTTTATTTTTAGAAAACAATTTTATATTTTATCTGTTATTTTTACTACTGTATCTCTGTATAGGTTTTGTCGATTTGACAAAGTAACCACCATAAAAAATTAGGATATAGATATAAATTAAATTTTTTTGTGTTCCCGAATGACTACAAATTATAACACAAAACCACAGATGTTTAACCTAAATAGTTTAAATCTCATAACATTATACATATATATATATTTATTTATTATTTTTATTTTATTGGCCTTTCAGCCATGTCTGACTAATGATGCAATGACAAGGCACATGTGTATTCATTACCATATCCAACAGTATAAAACTGGCCTTTACAAAATGACCTGTCTTTGGTTTGTTCTAGTGGACCAGTATTCTGTAAAATACAGTCACATTTCAGTTATAATGCATTACATATGTGTGTGTGTATATATATATATATTATTACTATTTATAAACAACTTCTTAAATTTAAGTTATTTTTCTTAAAATAAAGAACAGTAAATAAAGAAATATAGAAAACAATAATCTCTACTACTTATGATTGAAAAGAAGAGATATACCTGGCATACTGTACCTTGCATAATTTTGCACGTGGAGGATGTAAAACAAAATAACTTTTTAGGTTTTAGATATGCATTTTGAAATAACAATATCAATAGAATATCATAGAATTCCACTGTAATTTATCAGGCTTACTAACTAAACTGTATTTGTGTCTAAAAAAATATTGTTTTTCAAACAACATTTTCACTTACCCTTTCCTTCCAAGATTGGAGACAAAAGAAATAATATTAGGAAATTCCTACCTTCAGGAGGCTGAGAAAACCACATGGGGGAAATTCTGAGTTTTTGATTGGTTATAAACACCTGACAGAGTGAAGCTGATGTATGTAAGCAGGTATTTACAAAAATGGAAGAGGTGGGCAGGCCACTGTGTTTGATTTGCTAAATATATGGATATCTCAGAAAATAGAAAAGATATGAGGTTATTATTTTATATTCTAGCTTGAATCAGTAATTTGAGTTTCTAATTTGTAAGAAATTATAGACTTTGTATTTGGATATCACAAACATCTAATTTGAAACAAAGCTATATTCAACATACTACATGACACACAATAATCAATATTTAGAAATTTTTGTTTTAATGTTTACTTTTAAATTAAGAAATTAACTAATGTGTAATACTAAATTTGAATTATAATCTACAATTTGATACCAAACTTATTAACATACATTTATTAAATAGTAGTTCAATAACATTTTTAATATAAATCTACAAATGTGATGTCATGCCCTTTGACCCCTGACCAAAGGAAAACCCATACCAATAGGGTTAATTGACTTTCCAGCTTTTTGTTTGTTTGTTGGTGTTTTTGATTTGATATAAGTGTGAAAGACAGAAAGAGAAACATATAATCACAGACATAATTAAATTCTAGCATTTTATTTATAAATCCAGGGTGGTTTCACTGTTTTGAACTCTACCATATCATTACTTCTTACAAAGAATGAAAGCAAATACATCAAAATACAGTTAGACTAACATATTATTTTGTTTGAAATATTGCCTGATGGCTTAAGACAACAACAACAAAAGAAATGTGTGGGGCAATGAATCTTCAGTCACTGTTTACTCAATGAAAACTTGCCTCTTGCTGGTTCTGAAATTAAATCTGGTAGTCCTATCTAAAACTGTAAAAGACAACAGGTAAAAATTACCATTCTAGAATATAAGTTGCCTCTTGTTTGCTAATAAAGCATTACAAGCTCAATATTATCAAGCATTGAGCTACATGTTAAAATTTGCATAAGTAATGGAACATCATTAGATTATTGAATAACGGAATGTTTATTTATGAAAATATATGCAAACATTTTTAAGCCTAGTTGTGTGTTCAAGAGAAACTTGATATTTTCAGAAACAATTAAATCCTAGCATTTACTGTAGTATTAACATGTTTGGGAATTCTCCTCTGTGGTACTTAATGATCAAGGACCAAAGAATACACATTTTGACCTGTAGGTAGCCCTCACAACAGGCTGTGGTCTTCAAATCTTTCCATTCCTCTCTGGTTTTGGTAGAATCAATTATAATCCAGGCAGTCATCATCACATCACTAGTTTGTCTTGATTTTGGAGCACTAGACTTGGCTATGAAAGTGTTTGTCTTGTTCTTCATTGCCTTTTTTTGATCTATCTTCCTTTTGCAGACAAAAAGAGATATTGGTCTAAAATGAAAAACACTGTAATATAGTGTTATACCCGAGTCCTCTGTTGGAAAACATGAGTGGAGATTCTCTATTAGTTTTTAAATGAAGACTGTCTTCATGTTGTCTACATTGCACGAGCCTTCAAGAACATGCTGCTACTTGTACAACAGCTTCCCTAACTTAGAGTCCAACTGTACATGTTCCTTGAGTTCCTTCAGATAGCAAGGAACCTCAGTGCTACCATCTTTCATTTTCATCAAGTTATTCTCACAGACATCAACTTAAACCTTCAGAAAGGACACATATACATCCATCTTCTGGAACACCAAGCACAGCTTGGAGACTATTGTAAGGATCTCCATCAGAAGATAGATTGTTGCAACAAGGACATATTTTTATATCTTTTTCAAGAACCCTTTTGCTTTTGGATTTTTGACTTCTGTACTTGAAGTAAGTGATCAAGGCATAAAGAGGACAGCTTCATAAACAACGATCCATCTCACTTCCTGATCTTCACTTGAGGTAAATCAAGTACCTTTTGTATTTCCTGCAATTTTTCTGTGTGGATGGCAGACACCTTGAAATAGTAAAACAGGATAGTGAGAACCTCTTCGTATTTCACTTGGTATGGAACTGATTTTGAAGATTGGGATGTTACAAGAGCTAATTTGTAGGCAATACAATGATAACCAGTCATTGTGGATTTTCATTCAACAACACACCTGTCACGCCATTTTTATGGATGCTCATGACACTTGCTCGATTGTTTCCAAAACACATGACTTTTGTCATATGTACACTCCTTTTCTTAGATGCTGCTTTTCAGTTTGAGGAACTTCAGGAGCTATTCCATTTGGTATTTACAAATCTGCAGAAAAGATAGTGGAGGCTTTGAATAAATCTGGGTCTAAGAGCCTGATGTAAATGACAAGTTTTTTAAGCAATGCTATGTCAGTGTTCTTATCAGCAAATACACTGATAAAAAGGGATTTCCAATCTGACTGTCTAAATCCTTCAAAATGACTGCAGCAAGGCCCTGAAAAAAAAAACACTGGACATAGCTTCTGATCCATATGTAGTAGCCTCACTAAATTCCAGACTGTCAACACCTGGGCATTTCACTTCAGATAATATGTTCATCAAATTATCATACTTGTGCAGTGGGAGATTTTCTTTTACCATCCACTAAACTGTCATACGGTCAATCAGAGAGAGCCTTTTCTTTTTCGGAGAAGATTCTGCTAATGGCTTTCTCAAGATCACCTTGCATCTTCTCTGCTTCAACTGCAGTTTTATAGCCACTCTGAGCAGCATGACATGTCAAAGTACTTGTTCTGAAATTATTGGTGCCATTCGTAAAGGAATTGTCTTTTCTTGTTAGATTCTTAATGATACTGTAGCCAGGAACATTTAGTAAGTCACTTCTACTGGAAATGGTGGGCACCCTGTCCATCTTCAGCATTTTCACCAACACTGTTGCTTTTCTCAGTCTATTCACAGACTTCAGTGTATGTTTGAACTTCATCTGCACAAAAAACTTGGGCAAATAAAAAATTCATTTATTATAATTAATATGACAGGAACTTGCACAAACTCTTCTGACTGCAAGTTGTCAAATTGATGTCAAACAAGTTGCTTTGACTTTATGGCT